CCCGTCTGCATCCCCACCTGGAATCAGAAGCTTCATCTGATCCTCATAATAATTCTGGAGGATCAGATCTCCATTTCTTAGAAGAGAAACTGAGGTTTATAAAAACCAGATAACCTTCCCAAGGTTGTGCACCTTGCAGGTGGTTAATTAGGTCACAGACCACAGCTGCGGTTCCTCTAAGTGCTTCTCCCCCAGACAGTGTTGGGATGTGTTGCTATTTATATAAAAAAGCCATATGTAAATGGTGTCCCCAAAACACTTAAGGGAACAGAAACATGCATCCAACCCATTCTTTCAATCCTCACTTATTCTTCCTTCAAAAGGTTTAAAATCCCAACCCTCAGGCAACTACAGAGAGCCCCAGACAAATCTGAAAAATGCAGCTCTTTTTTCTGGAAGTTTCCCAACAGATGCCTCTTTTCATTCACATAATCCATTACTGCCAAGGAGAAAATAACATCTGTGTACTTTCAAAGCCTATAAAAATTCTACCCGAGTAGCAAAATAGATTAGTCTGGCACCATAATTTTTGGTTCAATACACCCCAAAACGAAAGCATTTGTTGAGTTTTATTAGCAGCTCCTGATGCAAGGCAGTGTGTGGGAACCCGAGGCTTCCAAGGACGAGAAGAGGTGCCTGACGCTCAGGGCTGCCTTCGGTGAATGTCCACCTGTCCGTCCCTCACTCTCTCGGTCAGTCGTGGTGAGTGGAGTGGCCACTCCTACAGGAGCAGGAGACAGGTGCCGGACTGGAAGCAGGACACGGGTTCAGGCTCTGCCCATGGTAGTGTGTGATGGGGGCAACTTACTTCTCATGGGGTGTTAGTCTCCTCAGCCATAGTGTGGAAACCACCTCAGGACACTGTCTGGGGATCCAATGTGCTCAGGGCAGGCCATAGAGAAAATGCCACTCAACACTGGCTTTACAGAGGGACGGCAGGAGGGGGCATGGCCTTGGACCCGGGGACAGTGAGGGGCTGGTGGATAGCATGGCTGCACTGCCTGGGTAGGGAGGTGCAGGGGGCAGGCTGTGGCAGCTGCACGCCACCTGAGGCTGCCTCAGCAGAGCACTACTAGGATGAACAGAGCCCTTCCTTGGCTCCTCCTTTCTTGGGTCCAGCCTGAAGCCACACCTGGATGCCCTCAAGCCCCTGGAGCTCAGGTCAGACAAGCACTGCCTCTGTGTCCTCGGCCCAGGGAAGAGGCCTCATCAGTGGCCCAGCCACCCAAGCTGAGGCAGGGGACAGGACAAACCACCCCTCCCTAAGCATGTGCCACATGCAAGGCTGCAGAAAGGCTCTTCTGACAGGTGCCGAGGAGTAAGCCTCCATGCCTAGCCTATGGCTCCTGACTTACTTGGGACCTCTCTTGGGTCTCACTGCTCTAGGGAGCTTCCCAATGCTCTCAGGATCATGTCACTATCCTGTGTGGGCCTGGCCCGTGTTGACCCTGGTAGCTTCAACTCACACTCCTTTCATCTTTCTTATGGTGCTCAAAGAACAGCATGCCTCCTCCTCCTCCCTGTCTCAGGCCTTTTGTACACACTATCACCCATTCCCAGAATGCTCACTCACCAACCTGGCCAACATCATCCTTACCCCGAAGCCGCCTCCGACATATTATCACCATCATCTTCCCCAATGCCCCCAACCTGAATATCCCCCGTCATGTGCTCTTTGAGCTCCCTGCACCCATCACCATCCATAATGATGTCAGTGTATGTGGGATTAGTTCTCAAAGGTCTGTTTCTCCCCATTAAGCCATGAGCCTACGAGGGCAGGGACCCAGCTTGTCTCACCTAGATGGAGAACGGTGCTCCTCCACCCCATCCATCTCCCATATGATCACCAGACAAACCAAAAAGTTCCTGTTTAAAATCATTTTATGGGGAGAGGACACAGCAAGAGGGCGGAACAAGAAGCTGAAGGCCCTCATTCTCCACAGAAACATTAAAAACAACTGGAGACTGTCTACAATATTTTATAGGCTCTCTAGAGAACAGTAAGAGATCTACAGCAACCAGGAGAACAGCCAATTAAGAAAAAGCCACNCCAAGGCTCAGATACATGCTACTAATTAGTGAAGGTCTTTCTCAATACATGGGTAGTATGTAAAGAACGGAAGGGGCAGCTTTTTTCCCCCAAAATCCCAATTTTCAAGAAAAAGTAATAAAAATAAATGGCAAACATGTATTATTCAAGGGAAAAAAATAAAACGGCAGAACCCAACCCAGAAGAATCATATGCATTGAATGTACTAGACAAAGACTTTAAAACAGCTTTAAAAATTCTGAAAAAGCTAAAGGAAAACACAAAGAATTAACAGAAATAAGGAAAATTATATATAAAAACAAAATGAAAATATCAATGAAATGAAATGATCAAATCAGAGGAGCAAAAAGAAAAAGGAATGAAGAAAAGTCAACAGAGTCTCAGGGACTTACGGAACACCATCAAGTGGACCAATATACACAATATAGGAGTTCAAAAGGAGAAGAGAGAGAGAGGATGGGACAGAGAAATTATCTGAAGACATAACGGCTGAAAACTTTCCAAAGTTTAGGAAAGACATGAACACAAACACACAAGAAGCTCAGTGAACTCCATATAGGATAAATTCAAAGACACACACACCAAGACACAATATAATCAAATTGCAGAAAAACAAAGGCAGAATCTCGAAAGCAGCAAAAGAAAAGTGACTCATCATGTACGAAGAAGCCTCAATAAGATTACCAGCCAATTTCTCTGTAGAAATGTTGGAGGCAGAAGGCAGTGGAATGATACATTCAAACTGTTAAAAGAAAAAACTGTCCATGCAGGATTCTATATTCAGCAAAAACTATCCTTCAAAAAGGAGGGAGAAATTAAGACATTCCCAGACAAATAAAAGCTGAGGGAGTTCATTACCATTATATCTGCCCTACAAGAATGCTAAAGGGAGTCCTTGAAGCTGAAATAAAAGGATTCTAGACAGTAGTTGAAAGCTGTAAGAAAACACAAAGATCACCAGCAAAGGTAAATAAATGGACAAATATAAAAACCTGTATAATTATACATTTGGTCTGCCACTCCACTTTTTATTTTCTTCGAAGTTTAAGATAAATGCAAAAAAATAATTATAAACCCATGTTAATTGGTACCCAATATATAAAGATGTAATGTGTGACATGTCAATAACATAAGGTGGGGGGTAGGTGGAGCACTACAGGAAAAGTTATTGTATGTGATTAACATTAAGGAAGTATCGAGTACATATTTTTCTCAAGTGCATATGGATCATTCTCTACGACTGAAGATGTGTTAGGTCACAAAACATGTCTGATAAATTTAAAAAAATCAAAATCATATAAAGTATCTTTTCCATCACAATGGAACAAAACTAGAAATCAGTAGCAGAAGGAAAACTGGATAATTCATAAGTATGCGGAAATTAAACACACTCTTAGCCAATTGGTAAAGAAGAAATCACAAGGAAAATTAGAAAATACCTCAAGATAAGTGAAAATGGAAACACAACATACCAAAACTTATGGGCAAAAAGTAGTGCTGAGAGGGAATCTTATAGCTGTGAACACATTAAAAGAGAAGAAGACTTCAAACCGACAACCTAACTTCCCACGTAAGAGAACAAGAACAAGAAGAACAAACTAAACAGAAAGCTAGAAGAAGGAAGGAAATGATGCAGATTAGAGGAGGAAAATAAAATAGAGAATATGTTACAACACCAAGGTCAAGGAATCAGATCCCTGTACACCTGCCAAAAAAAAAGAATGAACACATGAAAGAAAAATAGAGAATAGAGAATAGAAAAACAATAGAGAAAATCAACAAAACCAAGTTGATTCTTCAAAAAGATCAACACAATCGACAAAACTTTAACTAGACTGACTAGGAAATAAAGAGCGAAGACTCAAATAACTAAAGTTAGAAATGAAAGAGGGGCTATTACTACTGATTTTACAGAATGAAAATGGTTATAAGAGAACTATACAAGAACCGTATGCCTACAGATTGGATAACCTCGATGAAACGGTCAAATTCCTAGAAACACACAACCTACCAAGATGAATCATGAAGAAACAGAAAATCTGAACACACCTATAACTAGCAAGCACATTAAATTAGTAATCAAAAATCTCCCAGGGCCGGCCGGTGGCTCACTTGGGAGAGTGTGGTGCTGACACCACCAAGCCCAGGGTTAAGATCCCCTTACCAGTCAACTTTAAAAACAAACCAAAAAAACCCCTCCCAACAAAGAAAAGCCCCAGACCAGATGGCTTCACTATTAATTCTGCCAGATGATATTAGGAAAACTGGATATCCACATGCAAAAGAATGAAGTTGAGAAATGAATTCAAAATGGATTAACAACCTAAATATAAGACATAAAACTATAAACTATTAGAAAACATAGGAGAAACACTTTGTGACATTGAATTTAGTGGCAATTTATTGAATATGACACCAAAAGCACAGGCAACCAAAGCAAAAATAAACAAGTGGGAATATATCAAACTAAAAAGTTCTGCACAGCAAAGGAAACAACAAAATGAAAAAGAAACCTACAGAATGGGAGAAAATATTTTCAAACCATGTATCTGATCTGATAATGGATTAATAATCAGAATATATAAAGAACTCCAAAAAATAGTAACCTGATTTAAAAACGGACAAATATTTCTCCAAAGAAGATATGCACATAGACAACAAGCATATGAAAAGATGCTCAACATCACTAATCATTAGAGAAAGGTAAAACCACAATGAGATATCACTAGGATACATTAGGATGGCCACTATCAAAAAACCAGAGACTAACAAGTGTTGGTGACGATATGGGGAAACTGGAACCCTTGTGCACTGCTGGTGGGAATGCAAAATGGTGCAGCTGCTATGGAAAACAGTATGGAGCGTCCTCCAAAAATCAAAGATAGAACTACTATACGATCTGAAAATTCCATTTCTGGGTAAAAAGAAGGGTATTTCAAAAAGTTCATGAAAAAATAGTATTAAAAGATAATACTAGTCTTTCCATGAACTTTTTGAAGACCCCTCATATATATCCAAAGGAACTGAAATCAGGATCTTGAAGAGATATTTGCACAATCACATTCATTGAAACATTATTCACAACAGCCAAGAGGTGGAAGCAACCCAATGTCCACTTACAGATGACTGGATAACAAAATGTGGTATATACATACAATGGAATATTATTCTGTCTCAAAAAGGAAGTTAGTTCTGACATATGCTATAACATGGATGAATCCTGAGGACATTATACTAAGTGAAATAAGCTGTCACAAAAAGACAAATACTACATGATTCCACTCACAGGGGGTACCTAGAGCAGTCAGATTCATAGAGACAGAAACCAGGGGCTGGGGATGGTGGGAATTGGGGAGTTACTGGGTACAGAGTTTCAGCTGGGGAAGATGAAAAAGCTTTGGAGATGGATGGTGGTGATGGCTGCACAATGATGTGAATGTACCTAATGCCACAAAACTATACACTTAAAAACAGTTATAATGATAAGTTTTATGCTATATATGTTTTATCAGAATAAAAAGAAACCCTTCGATGGGTCCAAGGCCAGTCAGGTAACATAAATGAATTGTGCAGATGTGAGAGTAAGGCAGTGGTGGGGGTGGTGGATGGGGAATGAAGAGGGCAGAGCCTGCCCACTGTGTCAAATTCAAACTGTTTCAGTTTTAATCATGCCTCATTCTTTCAACAATGGTGACAGGCCATGCCTTATTGATTGCTTCCTGCCTTCAATGTTGTTTTTTTGCTTGTTTGTTTAGTATCCTGTTCCTTTGGCCCTACTCCACACCCCTTAAAACCCTTCCAAGATGTTCTCTGCCTCTGAACCCTGGCTACTAGAGTCGTCACTTGGGCTCCCTGGTGCTCTACATGCTTCCACAGGAACTTACATGTGGAGTTATTTGGTTGCACCTCTCTCTCCTCTGGGGAGCAGAGGCCAGCTCATTCATCCTAGAACCTTTAATACCCAACACCAGGCCAGAGTCCAGCAGCTGCTCAGTCAACACTTGCTGAAGGAGGCTTGCTGATGGCTTAGTAATTTACTGAGGCAGATCAGACAGGAAGAAAAAGATGGAGGCATCAACGGTGCTCCAGTACCTGCGTGACGGCCATTTGGGAAGGTGCCGTTTGGCAGGAGACAGCAGTGACCAGGTATTCTACATACCTAGCTTGATATGAGAGAAGGACATCAGTCCAGAAATGGGACTGACCCTTGTGAAAGATGACAGGTCTGGGGGTGGCGTTAAGGGATGTCAACTGAGACCAGGAGAGGAGACGTGGCATGGGGAAAGCCCCGCTAAAGGCAGCCAGCCCTCACCCTACAAATGCCTCTTTTAAAGGCCTCCCTTTGTTAGGCTGCTGTACTCTACGTTTCAGGTTTCTAGGCAATCATTAAATGTTTAATTAAATTAAAAGTATTTATAGAGAAAGCTCTAAAGCAGTTATTTCCAGGGATGAATAGGGAGATCACAAAAGTAATACTAACATCTTATAACTGAAAGTGTTTTATAAAACTCTCTTTGCATAATCAAGTCTTATTATGTACTGTGTTAGTCTAAGAACCATAATCTATGTTATCAGATTAACAGGTGGTATATTAAATTCAGCAGAAAAAGTTGCTCTTTAACAAATTTGTCTCCATACTGTTTGCCACAGCCATTTAAAAAAATACCCTTTATATGTCATCTCCTGTGTTCAGAGCCGCATAAGGCCTGTTTTCCACAGGACAGCACCAAGTCCCTGAGAGTGTTTGCAAAGAGACTTGCCTGATATGGGGCAGCTGGCACGTGGCAGAGCACAGAAGAAGAGGGCTTCGGCTTCCAAATTGAAGGTGTTTTATCAATTCACTTTCCCTATAAATACAAGATTCTACTTTAGACATCCAAAAAACACTCACATAAACTTGCATACACATAATTATTGAAGTTACACACCGACAAGTTCAGGATGACATAAACAGAATCCTAACAGAACACAAGACTGAGTGTAGAACTGGGAAGAGTCCAGCCCACCGGCCACTTCCATGCCTGAAGCCCAAATCTAAACACCAATTTCATTCCTTTTGGTTAAGGTGTTTGCCTACAGCTAAGACACCTGCAGGAGGGGCAAACCACATTACCGTGGGTACCACTAACGCTGCAATGTGAATGTGCTGATCAGACCCTCCCTAACAGGCTTACCAAGAAAATGTTAGTCGGTTTTTAAGGAGAGAGTGTAGAGCAAGGCTGTAAGGAAGGTAAGCCAGGCAGGGAATGAGGGGGAAGTGGAGGGAGGGAAGTAGGGTGCACAGAGGCAAACAGAGAGGTTTGGCTCCTGCTGGTGGGGAGCACCCTCTGTCAGGTGGAGGTAGGAGTCAGGGAGGAGAATCAGAGTGTGGAGCAGTGTTGTCGGAGGTAGGAGCCTGCCCTGGCATTCTAGGAGCTGGGGCAGGAAGTCGGCTCTTAGAAATACAAGTTCTATCGGATTTGGATTGATGGCTGCCTAATCTGGTGGTAAATTTCTTCAGGTAGGAGTCAGGGAGGAGAATCAGAGTGTGGAGCAGTGTTGTCGGAGGTAGGAGCCTGCCTTGGCATTCTAGGAGCTGGGGCAGGAAGTCGGCTCTTAGAAATACAAGTTCTATCGGATTTGGATTGATGGCTGCCTAATCTGGTGGTAAATTTCTAACATGTTTTCAGTTAAAGTAAAGGAAAGGGCCATGACCGCAAATAACTGCCACACTTGCTAGAAATGTATCCCCAAAATACAGCACATTAGCAAACTACCACTCATTCTCCTAGTGAATTTACATGGACTTTTCTTCCCGTCTGGGCATCAGCCCTGTCAACACCAACTGCTGTTTCCTTTTCATAGGATGAAGTGGGAAGGAAGGCACTTCCAGACCTCTTTACACAATTGGCTGTCCACCTCTCTGGTTCTCCACATGAAGCTCCAACAGGGAGACAGACACACACATTAGCCAGCTGACTCTTTCCAGGGCAGGAGTAGAGGAACAGAAAAGTTTCTGGATTTGTAAAATTATGCTTGCAGATTTTTCAAGAATTACTACATTGTTAACACAATGGTATCACCAACAGGGAATCTTCCCACAGACTAAGTCTATTCTTCCCCTCTCCATGGCTCTTTCACAGTGGGTCTGATGGAGAGGTTTCATAATCACATTCACCCTCTCTCTCCCCAAGGAACCTCCTTCCCAGAGGTTTGAGATTCCCCCTCTGGGGGGTAGCGGCTGGGACATGCCCTGTATTCTGTTTGATGTAGGATGTATGGCTCGTTACACATAATTCTGGAATAAAGGTGCCTGGAGGGGCTTAGAGTTCCAGGCACTTCCAGATGACTGATTCCTTTGCACTTAGAATAAAAACCACCCTCCCTCCATGTTGTCCCGGTCCTTCCCCTCTCGCTCTCTTCTTCCACTCTCTCCCGGCTCTGGGGTGTTGTCCGCTGAACGAATCCAGTCTGGTGTCCAGCTTTGTCCACCTCAGAGCCACTCCCTCTCTCAGTCTGGAACACTGGTGGCTGACAGGTCAGCCCAGACAGAACCACTCTGACCTTTTCTGTGCTCTTCTGGCCACCATCCCAACGCCAGAGCTAATTATTCTCACATCCTCAGGACCGGTTGAACCGCATGAGCTTACCTGTTTCCTGCGCTTCCCAGCCGGCCTGTGAGATCCAGGAGCGGAGGGGCCTGCCTGTTCTGCCTGGCCCCGAGCTGGGGGACGGGGCAGCAGATGCTAGCTGAATGAAAGAATGCAGCAGGGCTGCGGGGTGCCTGCGGGTTGAGACCCCTGCTACTTGGCTCACCCCCTTGCCCCGAACACTAAATGCGCCCCCCATGGGTGAGCACAGTCCAGACGTCCAGGGGGGAACCAAGGGTGCGAGTGACCCTGAGGCCGCCTTCCAGGCGCTGCCGCTCTGGACCGGAGAGTCGCCAAGCGCGTAAGCCTGCACCCTGGGCATCCCGACCCTCCTCTGCTCCGACCCCGACGCCAGGGCGCGCGTTTGCGCACGGGGAAGCCCACCTGCAGCCAGTCACCCTGGGCCGGGCAGACCCCGCCGCTTACCCTACACGGCGTCCTCTACCCCACCCACCCAGGTGGGAGCCCCCGGGGAAGCGGACGGCCCACAGCGGGTGGTTTCCTACCCGGTACTCCCGCCCCGGCCGGCGTCACCACGCTCTCCACCCACGAAACACGACCCACGGATCCTGAGGCTGAGCCCCGCCCACGTCCACGTCCACGTCGTCAGCGGCTGGTGGGGCACTGCGGACCTAGCTGCGCAGGCGCGGAGGTCGGCAGCCATTCCGGCAGGTGGTCTGACCTTCTCTTGGGTCCGTGGTAGGACTAGTGTCGGTCCGGGTTTTCGTCAGTCTGGGCCCCCAGCGCCCCCGTACGGCCCGTCACCGGCCAGATTATAAGGGTTCCCTTGACTAATTTCCTCAGGGCGCGGCGGAGCCGGCCTTGGTCGTGCCCGGCAGAGGAGTTACTACAGCCTCACAACTTTCACCGGCCTGTGGAAACCCCCGGGTCCCTGTCCCTACACATCTAAATTTCCTTTTTTTTTTTTTTTTTTTTTTTTTGGAAAAAAAGGTAATACATGAGGGGAAACTACAGCCACAACTGAGTGGGCAGTGCAGTCGTCTCCCCAATTCTTGGCCCAGTTTTCTGATCTCTTCCTAGAAGCCACCAAGGTTGCCAGCTCCTGACTCGGGCTAGTCCTGGAATGCAGACCGCTAGTTTACTGTGAGCCCTGGGTGCTGGGGGCTGCCCATCGGTTGCATTCTCCCGGCATTGCTAGAGCACCTTTCCTGGCTTCCCTTGCAGTTGGACTGCCTACTTGTAGGTGCCTGGCCAATGAGGTGTGGGTGTGCCCACGTGATGGGCCTGGCCAATGAGGCGTGAGTGTGCCCACGTGATGGCCCCCGGACCAATGGGTGTGCCTCTCCAGTCCAGGACCCAGAGGACAGTCCTATCTCAGGGAGTAAGTCTGGTTTCCTGAATCAAAGAGTTGTCATAAATTTATAGTCAAGATGGGACACTTTTGAGAGTGAATGGGTGCTAACTATATGGGATAGAGGGACAACATCCATAACCTAGGACTGGCACCCAGGGCATGGGTCACCCTGCTGATTCACCGTGTGGAAGACTGTCCAGAAGCACCTGGTTGGACACTGTCCTCCTATGGGGTCACACCACCAAGATTTGGTTATTATAGCGTTTGGCCTATATGGTCTTTGTAGATGGACCTTAACGTTTTTTCCAGTTGTTTGCTATTATGAATAACGCTACAGGATCCCCTGGACTATTTTTGTGCATACGTGGTTATATCTGTAGGAAAAATTCTTATGAGTGGAATTTGCTATGTTCAAGGATATGTCCTTTAAGAAAAAATTAAATAGATATGGCTAAATTGCCCCCTTTAGACACTACTAATTTATACTCCAACAAATAATGGTTGAGTGTGGGTTCCTCCACATCCTGCACAGGGGTCTGATGGCAGTCCACACCTGTAGAGTCTTTCCAAACTTTTGGATCTTTGCCAATCCAATAGTTACAAAATTATATCTTGCATACAATTTTATGTTTTTTTCTAGTATTCTGAAATCCATGTTCATGGAATTGTAATCCCTTGCTTCTGTGTGCCTTGCTCATGTCTTATCACTTCCTTTCTCATCACCGTATTTCACTCAGAGTTTCCAGAATTTGTCAAACTTTTGCTGACATGAGATTTTGCATATGCTATTCACTGCTTGGAAAACTCTTCCACCAGGACTTTCCGTAGTAGATTCTTTTCATTGTTTAAGATCAGCTCAAATATCACTTCCTTAGACCATTTTATCTAGTGTGGGCTCCCCCAGTAATTCTCCATTCCATCACCCCTTAATGCTGTTTCCTTCACAGCACTATCACACCCCTCATTGTTTATGTGTTGATCTGTTTATTGGTGTATTCTTTGTTCCACTACTGAAATGTAAGCTCCATGAGAGCAAGGAAATGGTCTGTCCCGATCACTGTTGCATGCCCAGCACCTAGCACTCTGTCTGGCACAAGGTGGGCACTTGTAGCAAACACAATTGGTGCCCACATCCCTTCAGCCCACTTTTGACTTGAGCTGTCCACTTGTGATGGAGAGTTCCCATGGATGTTGCCACCTCAAGCATCTCATTGCTGTCCTTTTTAGCACTTAACTTAGGACTTTCTCTGAAAGCTCGGAACAGGCACAGCCTGCAAGTTAGTTCTCCGGGTGCCCTTGGACAAATCCAATCCTCCTTTCTCACTTTTAGTTCTCAAGAATAACTGTAGAATGTTCTAGGAATGCAACATCTTGAGATAAGAGGGACTGGCCAGAACAATCCAGGCTCTGTTGCAGGTTCCCCTGTGTTAGTCTGTTTCTGTTGCTTATGACAAAATATCTGGAACTGGGTAATTTAGGGAGAAAATGAAATTTATTGCTTATAATTTCAGAGGCTAGAAAGTTCAAAGTGCAGAGAACACATGTGGTGAGTCTTCTTTGGTGGTGGCTTTACAGCAATGCAGGGGTCTCACATGGCAGAAAATGGCAGAGCAGAGAAAGAGAGAGACTACCCTCCTCATTTACTCTCTTTTTAAAGCCTAACCCCGACCACCATTTTTAATCCATTCACTATGGCATGGTCCTACAGTCTAATCAACTCTTCAAGGCCCCACCTTTTGATTACCATAATAGGATTTCCCACCCTCTGAACACTGCCACAGTGAGGGTCAAGTTTTTGGGGGACACTCAATCCAAAACAGGATGTCCTTCAAGCCTTTAGACAAGCAATTCATGGGATTCTAGGGTATAAAACCTAGGGTAGGCTGTTTCTGGTGTCCCTCATCTGCAGTGCAAGTAGGACATGTGCAGTCAAGACTTCATCTGCCCCAGGCAGCCTTCCGGAGTCTCGGGGGAACAGTTTACAATGAATCCTAGGCTTTGGTTGTGCCTCGCTTCCTATCTGTAAATAATAAATCTGCTTCATGAAACTTGTTGAGTATGAATGTATTCTGTCTCACTGGACTCAGACAAGTTGGTAAGCAGTGCACAGTGAACCTGCTTCACAGCAACTGTTTTAGTCCGTTTTGTGTTGCTGTAACAGAAATACCTGAGACTGGGTAATTAATAAGGAAA